CTTTCCTCTAAAAAAGAAAGAAATTATCTATTGCGTCAGTGGGGGGTCAAAAAACCCTTGCATTGACCAAAGCGTCATAATGATCTACATTGCGTGTATGGGAGCACAAAATCTCTAAAACACCTTCTGCATTAAAAAGAAACACAAAAAAAACCTCCCCTGTTTCCATGCTAATGAGTGGAGACTGCGGGTGAAACAGCTGGTCCTCGGTGGATGTGTCGGGGTCTGTCGTGTTGTGGCCTGGCTCCCCGCCAGGACATTGCGTGAAAGGTCTGGGTTTAAGTCCGTTGTGTGCGGGGGGGGGGGCTTACTGTATCATGTGCAGATAAACCTGTTGTAACGGCCACCTGTATTAGACAACCACAAGACAACCACCTGTATAAGACAACCACCTGTATAAGACAATTGCTTTTAGTCAAGATATATGGGTATTTTATTTTTTGAAAGATAGAACAAGCTTACAGATGATACCAAAAACTCCACATGCCTAGAAATTGACAAGAAGCACCTGATTTCCCCGCGTCATGACACATAATGTGACACATGCTCTGCTACTTGACATTTGGTTTTTGCGTAGGAAATATTCACGGTTTTCATCGCGTTGGGGATGGACGTAAAATTCAGCGGTGCTGCATCTGAAAGGACCTGCTGGTGTTGATAAGGGTGCTAAACCCACCTGTTACATGACATAGACATCTTGGTCACGGCATGCACCACTCTCTGAATATGTGTGGGTTCCTATCAAATAGACTATATTTCGCTGTCTTGTAACTCCACTGATCTTCCACTTTTTTATTACTTGCTTGTGTGCAAGTGCTGTAAAACTTACAGAACCTGAACGTAACTCTGTGGGTGGTTGGCGGGTGCTCTGGTGAGGTTTGCTTCTTCTTTCCTATCAAACATCTATCTATCCTCCTGATCTCTCCTCCTATTTTGTGTTTGTTTTTCTCTTGTAACACCTCTAATCTTTGGCACTTATATCACCTTATTGTGTTGCAAGTGCCGTAATACTCTTACTAAAACTAAAACTAAATGTAACTCTGAACATGTCTGTTGTCTGCTGTCTTCCACAGTAAAACATACGGCAATGTGCTGGTGCTTGACGGGGTCATTCAGTGCACGGAGAGAGATGAGTTCTCCTACCAGGAAATGTTGGCTCACCTGCCCCTCTCCTGCCATCGCAACCCCAAGAAGGTACGCTGACGAAATGTCTCACTCGTTACTCACATAGGAGTCCTAGAGATCAATTATATTCCTGTTTGTGATAGCCAGTGAGGTTTTTCCATTTTGAGATAGATAACCTATCCAACATGGTATCTCTCTGAGTATCTGTCCAACATGGTATCTGTCTGAGTATCTGTCCAACATGGTATCTGAGTATCTGAAAAGTGTTAAAGTCCAGTGGTCCCTGAAGTCAAGATTTTCTTAGTTTTTGTGATGCCTGTACTAGACTGTAGTACGTTGTATTTATGCTGGGCATTTCCATTTTCTACATTTTGGGTTATTTGACAGGTGTGCATGTAGAACGTAATGCTATATCAGGGTTTATATAATATATATATTGTCAAACCTCGTTACACCCCCCCCCCCCCTTACACACACAATACATACACATGTATACACAGAGAGAGAGAAGACTCAGGCCTGAGTACATCATGTCCATGTAAGTCCCCAACACAGATCCCAAAGCAGATTCATTCCCCTTGACATTAAACAGTCAGGTCAGGGCTATATATAACAGAGGACCCGTCACATCACCAAACTGCAGCCAGCCCGTTAGTCCATCAACTTCATTGTCATCCCAGGGGTGGCGGTATGATAATAATATAATAATAATAGATAGCTTTTGTATAGCGCAAATCCCCGCTCAACAGCAAGCTCTATGCGCTTCACAATCTATACTATTACCCCAGTAGTATAACGAGGATTGATTGTATTTGTGTGCATAAGTAAAAGATTTCCATTAAAAAAATGATTGATGCAGTGACAGATGATAGTATAGTGGAACTCAGATTCAACGAAAAGAGATGGATTCCCCGCGGTTTTTTCTTCTTTAAAACCAATAAAAATGACTCGGATTCAACGAGCACTTAAATCAGCAAGCTTGGACACAGGCGTGCATTTGAACAATTCGGTCTTTCTTTTGCACAGCTCATAATTTGCAGGCGTTTCCGGCACCACTTATTACTTCTCTTTCTACATTACTTGCTCAGTGCCTGCAGTTATCTACACAAAACCTCATGTTTGCTATAACGAACGCTCGGATTCAACGAGATTTTAGTTCAGGCCCAACGACCTCGTTGAATCTGAGTTCCTCTGTAGCATGGAGATGTTGACTGGGGGCGTGTCTTGTTTCTCCAGGTGTTGATCATCGGTGGGGGGGATGGAGGCGTGGCCCGCGAGGTTCTCAAACACAGCTCTGTGGAGGAGGTGCACATGTGTGAGATTGACGAGGTAGGTCAGCTGGTAGTTTGTGGTGTGCACATGTGTGAGATTGACGAGGTAGGTCAGCTGGTAGTTTGTGGTGTGCACATGTGTGAGATTGACGAGGTAGGTTGAGAGTTTGTGAGGGTTTGATCTGTCTGTGTTGTCGAGAGTTTGTGACAGTTTTATAATGGAGCAGTTAACAGGTCTGTATAATGTTTTAGAAAATCTCTGCTTTTTTCAATGTTTTAATTGCCGATGTTGGTCCTGACCGATAGGGTTGAAGCTTTTTTTTTTTTAATCCTAATAATTATAATTTGTGCCATGAAAACATTAAATGCTCTGACTAAATTTTTGTAGGGATGGAATTGACCTGCTACTGATTACATACTTGACAGAAAAAAGAAGTAATTAAATAGCCTCTTTGCTTTGCTGTGGTAAAAGTTAATTTTAAACAATTTCATCGATCCTTCCTCTACGTGGCATGTTTGTTGAGCTTGTGTACGAGTCGCCCGGTTGTCTCTCCCCGCAGATGGTGATCGAGGTGAGCAAGAAGTACCTTCCCAACATGGCATGCAGTTTCGCCGACCCCAAGCTGAAGCTGCACATCATGGACGGCTTTGAGTTCATGGGTCAGCACAAGGGAGAGTTTGACGTCATCATCACAGACTCCAGCGACCCCATCGGTAGGTCACCCACTGCAGCGGTCACTGTTGACTGTTACTGTTGAGTCACTCACTGCAGCGGTCACTGTCGAGTCTGACTGACTTTGTGTCCTCTGTAGAGGGACTTAACACGAATTCATTAACCTGGTTTCACCCAGCAAGGTGTAAATGGGTAACGGTAACTGCCATAGACAGCGAAATATCTTTTCAGTATGTTAATATTTTAGCACTTTTAAAATAACACTTTTGGCACAGGAAGTTTCGGATTGTTGTCAGGTTGATCTGCCACGGTGATAAGATTGATTGCAGGTGGTAGAGAGTTTGCTGTGACGCGGGAGTGTGCCCCATAAAAATGCTAATGGTCCGGTATTTTACAGGTAACCTACAAAAATGGGCCGGTTTTTTATTCAAAAGTATACCCTCGTATTACGCGCTGGGTTGTGTTATCGAGGTGAATATACACTGTACTGTTATGCTGTTGAGTGCACCGGACCATTTTCCTTTGTTCATCTTGTTAG